CCCCCCCCCCCCTCCCTCTCCCCCAGGCGTCCCCAAGTCAGCCGCTGCTGAAACTGACCAGCGGCTGACTACAGGAAGCCCGAGGTAGAGTTGCTCTGCCCCAGGCTTCCTGGAATCAGCCGCTGATCAGTTTCAGCAGCAGCTGATTTGGGGACGCCTGGGTTTCTTAAGTTGAATCTGTATGTAAGTCAGAACTGGCGTTCAGATTCAGCTGCGGTTGAAACTGATCAGTTTCAGCAACGGCTGACGCCAGTTCCGACTTACATACAGATTCAACTTAAGAACAAACCTACAGTCCCTATCTTGTACATAACCCAGGGACTGCCTGTATTGCAGGACAAAAGTCTACAAACCTGTTGAGTGATTTGGTTTTTCTAATTAGGCAGTGATAAATCACCAACCATGTGTCAGTTTAAATTAGGGATGTGAAAGATGAGCCGGTGGGTGTAGGAGCAGCTTCCTACCTGCCATAGGCAGGGGGTTGCTCCAGCCCTGCGGGGGCCGGCTACAAACAGGGGTTGCTCTGGCATCTGGAGCAGCCTCTGTCTGTGGGGAACCTGGCCACCCAGTAGACAGGAACTGCACTGGCTGAGCAGGAGCAAACTCCTGCCTATGACAGGGGATGTGGGGGAGGGGGTTGCTCCAGCCTGCCCGCCGCCCTTCCACCCATACCCCTTTTAGTGGGTTAAACATAATGTTTAACCAATTAAACAGGATTTTACATCCCTAGTTTAAATTGGCTCTGGTCATTTTCTGACACACAATTGTATTGCAGCAATAGTAACTGCAATATTAAAACATCTCTGGTAAATGATGGGTAGAAATGTGTGATCCTGCCCAGTACATGGTTAAGTTCAAGTCTCCAATCATAAATGAGCAGCGTAAGAACTTGAATTGATGTCTGTAAAGTATTTATTTTCCTGTGGTGTAAAGTATTAAGGATTGGTTGAGTGTGTTAAGACATTTGGTAAACAGGAGGAGAATTTGTGTATTTGGAATATCCCCATTCTAATGCATTATAAACTAGTCTGGAGATGAAAAACTGGATTGTCTGCTCCAAGCTATAAACTGTTTGAGAACTGTCTCTCGGTCTTGCATAGCGCCTCAAATGCTGATGACAAGTGAGTAAACAATAAATACATATGAAGTGCACACAGAGGTCTGTTCTGTCAAAAATGTGGGCTTGTCTGCCAGTGTTTCCTGTGCTGTTTCTAAGACTTCATTCTTACTTTCACGGGTAAATGGGGAGGAAAGATCAGGTGCTCAGATGAATGCAATGCTCTGTTTTTATAAAACTATCATTCCGTAGTGCCTTCCATGTGGGAATCCTCTCAGGCTTTGTAAATATTAATGAATTAAACCTCACAACATCCCTGTGAGGCAGGTAATTAATCTCCATTAGGCAGATGGACACAGAAGCCACATACACCTTATGCAAGTGGTTTCATTCGGTCCTATCCAACTGTTCTGTCAAGGTAGAATTGGGTAACATGGTACCCAAACAGAATTTGGAAAGTTGTGTACACTGTCTCCTAAGCCTTTTCTTCCTGCTATTAAAAAGAAGGGGAATTGAATGAAAGAGGCAGTGCTTTTGTGCCTTTCAAATATCTGGATCTCTACAGACTTTCTTCCAATCAGAATGGCACCTGTTATAGTCAAAATCAGGGCACAAGAGACCAAGCCATGGAAGAGCAGCTGTTGCAGGCAGTCATGCACAATATTTTTGTGCTAGAAATGAATCATTTAGGCTGTGTAATATATATGGAAATGTGCTGTGGGAATGTCACTCTGGTACTTCAAAATAACATATCTTATTAATATAACCCAGACAGAGCCCGTCTCTGACTCTCAGATCTTGTAGCCCTTCCCTTTACTCATAAAGGCATAGGCAATCTGCCTCCTAGCTCTAGAAGTGTTACTGAAGATTATTAAATCTACATACATACAACTTTGAAGGAGTGGCAGGCCTGAAAGGAACACTTCCCCATCACTACAAATGTAAACTGAATGATGATGCAATATTTTTTTAGGTTTTTGCAGTGGCAGACAGCAAAAGGCAAGTGACTTAACCCATATTTCTGGTGTCAGAGGGGTAGCTATGTTAGTGTGTAAGGGTATGTCTCCACTTGCCCCCTAGTTCGAACTAGGGAGGCAAATGAAGCATACCCAAGTTGCTAATGAAGCACAGGATTTAAATATCCCATGCTTGATTGGCGACCGGCTGCGAATATGCTAATCAAGCATGGGATATTTAAATCCCGCGCTTCATTAGCAACTTGGGTATGCTTCATTTGCCTCCCTAGTTCGAACTAGGGGGCAAGTGGAGACATACCCTTACACACTAACATAGCTACCCCTCTGACACCAGCTTAAAAAACAAGTAGTTCTGTGGCACCTTTGAGACTTACAAAAATATATATATAGTATCATGAGCTTTTGTGGGCAAAACACACTTCATCAGATGAGCTGGAAGTTGGAGTGGAAATAACAGGAACCCAAAATTTATAACAGTAAAAAGAAGGGAAGAAAAAAGTTACCTGTCAAGTTACCCTGTACATATTTCTGGAGCATTGATGACGGACAAGGAGGTGAAGAAAGCAAGGAGGGGAGGAGGAGAAATGGTTTATAAGATCATAGGATACTGCAGACAATGGCGATTGGCACCATAAAGGGATACTCCAAATTCTCTTCTAAACATTTTTCATGCCGGCCTAGAGATTTAGTAGCCATTATTGGCCCATACTGTATGCTGGATAAAATGGTAAAGCAGATTGCTATGCTAAAACTTCCAAGACACAGACACAAACACACACAGCATTTACCTCATTTCTGGAAGTCTCGTCTGAAATTTGAGCATGCAATATCTTGTTCCACTTAGCTGTGATTGCCAGTTTAAATAAAATTTGCTACCTATAATTTGCCACCTAATTCTGTAATGAAAGTTCTAAATCTATAGACACTGAAATCTGTGATGAAATACAGAACCACTTAGAAACCATTTCATCAGTGGCAGGAAACCCAAAGTAGCAATGTAACTATTCCAGATTGTATTAATCATGTCTATATATTTGGATAACAGAATGTGCAGAGCAATAGGATACGTGTTTTTTCTGTACTTAATGTTCATGATGAATTCTCATATCTTATTCCAAAGGTTCTGCTGTTGGAAAAGATGGCCCAAGTTACTGTTGGGGTGATGATAGAAAAGAAAGAACAAGAAGACCAAGACACAACAGACGGAATGAGCGTTAAACTACTGAGTGACAATGAATTGCAGGAAAAACTTCTCATGTATGGTGCTGACCCTGGACCAATACTACGTATGCATCAATTGAATAATAGTTGGGATTGGGAACAAGTCAGGAAGTACAATCTAGTGTAAAGTGTCTTTAAAGTGAGAAATTTGTCTTATGTTTTTGAATTGGGTTGAGACCCAAACAGGCCTGTTTTTTCAAGAGCTCAGCTCCCATGTAAGCATCTTTGTTATTCACCAACAAGGTTGCTGGCAATTGGGCATCTAACATAGTGAATGCCAGTGAAAATGAGGATCAGAGGCTAAAATGAGAAAAGAATAAGTTAAACAGTGTAGATGTGGGGAAGTGGTAGATGTGGTATATCTTGACTTTAGTAAGGGAGCTGACTGAGTAGAGGTTTATCCTTGAAAAGTAATAGAAGACGAGAGAGATTCTGGAAGCCTGAAAGGGCAAATACAGTGCCCATCTGTATAAAGGGAAATAAGGATAGCCCAGGAAACTAAAGTCCAGTCAGTCAGCTTAACTTCTGTGCCATGAAAGATAAAGGAGCAAATAATTAAGGAATCCATTTGCAAATATCTCTAGAAAATAAGGTGATCAGTAACAGCAAGGATTTGTCAAGAGCAAATCATGTCAAGCCAATCTGATTGCTTTGTTTGACTGGTTAACAAGACCGTGGTTTCATGCGGTTTTGCTGACAGTGGGGTAACTTTTCAACAGATTTCCTCGTTTTTTGAGGAGTGCAGGACCGGTAAAAGTCACCCCGCTGTCGGCAAAACCGTGTCTAAACTGTGGTTTCAGTTTTGAAATGGCACCTGTTCGAAACAGCGCCAGAATGTGATTATGCAAATGAAGCATGGGATATTTAAATCCCCACTTCATTTGCACTTTTGATGTGCTTTATTTTCATCCCTCTGCCAACAGAGGTGTGTAGTGTAGACCTAGTCTTGGTTTTAGTAAGGCATTTAATACGGTTTCGCATAACCTTTTATAAGGTGGGTGCATAACTGGTTAGAAAACCATTCCCAGAGAATAGCTATGAATGGTTCAGTCATGCTGGAAGGGCAAAATGAGTGGGATCACCTTGGGGGTCAGTTCTGGGTCCAGTTCTGTTCAATATCTTCATCAGTAATTTAGATAATGGCCTAGGGAAAACACTTGTAAAGTTTGCAGATGATAACAAGGTGGGAGTGATTGCAAGTGCTTTGGAAGAAATGGTTTTAAATAAATAGGGTGAAATTCAATAAGGACAAATGCAAAGTACTCCCCTTGGGAAGGAATAATCTATTGCATTTGTACAAAATAGGAAGTGACTTCCTAAGGAGTGCTTCGGAAAGTGATATGAGGGTCGTGAATCACAAGCTAAATATGAGTCAGTAGCATGGCACTGTTGTAAAAAAGCGCAAACGTGATTCTGGGATGCATTAACAGGAGTGTTGTAAGCAAGACATGAGAAGTCATTCTTCTGCTTCACTTTGTGCTGGTTAGGCCTCAACTGGAGTATTGTGTCCAGTTCTGACCACCACATTTTCAAGAAAGAAGTGGTCAAGGTCCAGAGAAGAGCACCAAAAATGATTAAAGATCTAGAAACCATGACCTCTGAGGGAAGATTGAAAGAATTGGGTTTGTTCAGTCTGGAAGAGAGGGGACATGAGAGCAGCTTTCAAGTACCTAAAAGGTTATTAGAAGAAGGAAGAATGTTCTCCTTAACCTCTGACAGAACAAGAAGCAATGGGCTTAAATTGCAGCAAGGAAGGTTTAAATTGGACATTAAGAAAAACTTCCTACCTGTCAGGGCGGTTAAACACGGAAATAAATTGCCTAGGGAGGTTGTGAAATATCCAGTATTGGAGATATTTCAGAGCAGGTCAGACGGACATCTGTCAGGGATGATCTATGGTGCTTGGTCCTAATTGAATGCAGGATACTGGTCTAGACAATCTCTTGAGGTCCCTTCCAGTCCTAGGATTCTATGATGCGGCCAGACATTTTGTATGTGCTTAGCCCTTATTCTCAATTGAAACTGATGGATGTTGAGCTTATTTGAAAATCTGGTCTTGAATTTCAGGGTTTTGTTATGTATAATAAAACAAATTGCACAGCAAACCAATTGTTGTTAATCCCCTTGCATTATGAACTGTTTTAGCTTCTACAAGGACTCTTTATGAGAATAAACTACTGCAGTTGGTGAATCCAAGTCCACAAGGATTTCGTGATAAGCTAAAAGAAAGTGGAGATCTTGATCGGAGTTCAGGGAGTGAGGAAGAAAAAGGTACAGGGTGATACTTTTGGGAAGCCACTGTTTCAGATATACTATTTTCATGTCTGTGAGCATTTGCTAATCCATCATCTTCACACACAGTCAGTTACTATTACTAAGTGAAATTTCTTTTTAATTGCTTAGGAGCCTAATTTCCATTCATTTCAATGGAAGTTAGGCCTGTCTGAATCTGAGTGCTTTAGCACCTTCAAAAATCTGGCCTTACATGATGTAGGCACATTAATCCTGTTGAAGCAATGGGATTTATGCTCCTGTTATGCTAGAAAATTAGTGTCAAAGGGGAGCTGTGTTTGTCTGTACATGTAAAAACAAATAGTCCCTGTGGCACCTTAGACTAACAAAAATGTATAGAATCATGAGCAAGACCCACTTTATCAGTTGAGTTGGAATGAAAATAACAGAATAGAAGATATGTAAAAACAGCAAAAGAAGTAGCTATCAATTGTAGGACCCGTGTTCATGAGGCTAATTAAGTGGGCTGGATGTTTCCCATTCATAGCTTTTGATGTGGAAATGTGAATGTCAAAGGTAGGGGAAATTGACTTTGTAGTGCATTAATCAGTTAATGTTGTTCAAACACAGGGTAACAGTGTTAAATTTGTAGCTCATTCTAGTTCAGCAGACTCTCTCTGAAATTGGGTGGTGACATTCCTTTGTAGGAAAATAGCTACTTTCAAATCCATGATTGAGGGACCAGGTAGGTTAAAATGTTCCCCTACAGCTAGAAAATTAGGTCATCATTGTCACTCAGGTGTGAAATCCACGCCCCTCAGCATGTAGTTAAAACTGATCTAAATCCCCAAGCAGCACTACCACATCCGAAGAAAGCAGCATGCCAATGGGAGAATCCCTCCTCTCTGGTGTAGGTAGTACCTACATAAAAAGGCAACAGTGGTGCAGCTGTGTTGTAAGTGTAGATGAGCTCTCATGACATTTGACAAGTCTGCTCCTCAGTATAGCATGGACTATGTGCTAATCCACGTGTCTGAAATTATTTGACATGTTACTGATTGTGATTTTTTGTGAAGAAACTAATGGTATTGCAGTAGCTCTGAGTCTTTGCAGCAGAACTCCAGAGTAATTTCTTAGAGGTCAAATTGTGTTTGTTCCAGATCTAGTATAGACCTGGGTTTGGGGTCAGTTTGTTGCCTTAACTCTATGTTGACCTAACTCTGTAGAGTAGACCAGATCTGAGACCTTAGCTATATTTTTATAAAAATGATGGTAGGGGCATGGTTCTTATTTACACTGAGGCTGCTTTACAGCACTCTGAGGAGCAGATTCACAGCTGGTATAAATTATGTCTTCTTGAGGATCTGCTTCTGACATAAAGGGTCTTTAAATTGGCCCACAACTTGATCATAACTGGGAATCAGGCCCTTTATGGAAAATGAGACTATCTATTGTTAAATGAGACTTTTAAAAGCTGAAGATGTGTAAATTGACACCTTTTGGGGCCTAAATCAATCTGGGTGGGAATTGGGAAAGCGGCTTCTTCCATGAGAGGTTTTTCTGTGACTACCTGCTGCAGGGTTCCTTGAAATGCCTGGCATTGACCACTATTTCACAGGCTACTGAGATTGATGATCCCGTGGTCTGATCTGGCTTGCAACTCCTTTGTGAATATCAAGAGACTTGAAATAGCTTCAAAGGGAAAAATAGATGTAGGGTTTTCTCTTGGCAGAAGTGTAACATTCCACAGTTCAATCCTGAAGATCTTTTTGAGGAGTTATTTAGAACTGAAAATCAAGGGTTTTTTAATCACGTAAGCCTGCTTTGAAGTTCCTATCAAGGAGATAGCCAAACCTTTCATTTATTTTACTGGTTGTAAGGAATTGCTAACTTTGTTCAAGCAATTAGTTTGGTGGAGCAATTTCTGTGGCTGTTTGGAAACAGAAGTTCGAAAATCCTGAGTGGATTAAAATGTTTTGAAAAATACAAAATCAGCAGCTGTGCATCGGACTCACTGACAGTGTAGCAGCTGTCATAAGAGAAGTATCTTCTTTGTACCTTGATTGAAAATAATTTTAAAGGAAAAGATACTTTACTAGTTCCACTGCATAATGCTGTGGTATGGATAAGGAACTGTTAATTTTCCAGACATGATTGCCAGTATGTGAATACTGTTCTGACATCTCTCCTGCCCTGAAGACTTGAATCTAATGCTCTGTAAGGAGACAGCTAACATTTTGGTATTGCCTTTCCTCACACCTTCTCTTCTTTGTATTTGTACGGTGCCTATCACCATTGAATCCAGGCACCTGACTAAATTTTTGTATATGTTTAAATTATTTGTACATGCATGAAAACTATTCCTATAACAGAATAGTCCAGTGAAAGCACAGGGGAATAATTAAGCAAAGCAGGTGCTAAAGACGACTGTCCTATTGCACTTGTTTTGAAGTATTAACTTCAGCATAATTTACTCTTTTAAGGCCCTCATTTATTAGATTTTCCTCCCTGCATTCAGAGACCAGTACTGAAGTAGTCCTTGAAACAAAAGATTTCAAAGTGACAGCAGCTTGTGCCACTGGCTACAGTAAAGTAAGTAACCTACTAATGCATGAATATTTTATGTATCTGCTGCTACATGCAGGAAACTTCAAGATAATAGAAACTGATGTTCTTTGTATTAAGCTCTTGACAAATTCAGCAATTACCACCAATCAGATAATTATAGCATGATTCTATGGCACAACTTCTACAGTGCTGCCCAAGGAAATCTGCTGTTGGAAATAAGTCAGCTCGGGTGTTTAAGAATATGCCAAATTGAATTTCTGATGTACAAAGTACCCAAGTAATTATAAATGCTGATTTACCAGTGTGTTTAAAATACAAAATTAACTATTGAATATCAACTCAATCCCCAGTGTTTCACTATATTAAATTACATTTAAGCTTAGCTTTTTAAAGGGACACAAAGTGGGGTGAACACTCTGGTGTGAAAATGAGTTCTTATAAACCATAGGACCAGAGACGTCTCATCTCTTAACGGTTCCTGTATGGTACCTGTTGTTGCAGCATCAGCGCACCTGACAATTTTAGTATATTTATTCTCCTACTAAGAAGTAGGAAAGTGCTGTTATCCCCATCTTACATTATACTGACGTGCAAAGGGAGACTAAATGACTTTCCCAAGGCTGCACAGGGAGTTTATGGCAGGACATGGAGTTGAATCGGAGTATCCTGAATCCATGGTGACTGCTCTAACCATTGTGTAAGGCATCCTTATGTTTCCATGCGCTTCATGGGGCAAGAATTCCTAATTAAAACAATTGTTTTCTCAAATGATGCAGGGCAATGTCTGGAGAGTATAAATGATGAAAAACCTTACTACGATATGATGGCTCTATCTGCAGATAGAGCTGCATCTCTTTCTAGTGTGCCGTTTGAAAAATGTGGGATTTAATTAGGGTCACTGTTAATGAAAGTTGCCAACAGTTCGCAGCATTTTCTGTGGATTTCTTTTTCTTATAGGCTCCATTCAGTGAAGTTTCGGAACGCCACAAGAAACTGCTAGCACCTGATGCAGATTACAGTCTTGCCAAGATAGTGGCAGAGGAAAGTACATACCCTCCCAATAGCTGACATTAGAGCAGAAACTTAAGTAGCAGTCTATCTTAAGAACTGCTTTACATGTCTCATTTGCAAAGCACAAATTATTCCAGATTTACATTTAAAAAAAAAAAGCAGTGCACAGTAAATGAAGGTGTAGACTTATTGTGGAAAAAACTCTAGTAATCATTTCAAAGACCATGTCCTCCCTAAAGCAGGGTTTGATCTTCTGGAGTTCGATTTAGTGGGTCTATTTAAGATTTGCTAAATCAAACTCAGATGGCAGCTGCCCCATTGGCAGGGGATCAGCCTCCCGCTGTGGGGGTGGCGGGGAAATTCAAAACAAGGTATGTCGACTCAGCTACATAATTAACATAGCTGGAGCTGGGTATCTTGATTTGACATTCCCTTTTAGTGTACACCTGGCCTTAAATACGCACAAGCTGTAAATTGCAAGAGAATACTCTCTTGTGCACTATGTTCTTGACCTTGATATCTCAGCTTTGACCAGGAGAGGATTTAATTAGGTATAGATTGTTTACACGTCCAATTAATGCCTGTCTTGGGTATTAACAGCTAGAGCAAATATTGCCAGAGGATAAGTTGCCAGCACATTGGACACAAGGACAGAAGGTGTCCGGTGGTAGCAGTCCCCAGACCACTCGCAGGACAAAGGTATTCTGGGACCAATTAACTTACAGAAAACTGGCTTTTTTTCCAGAAAATCTTCCAAAAGTGCTATTTACAAAAGTGTCCCATAGCAAATAGTAGTAAAGCAAAATGCTGCAAATCATGCCTCCTTGAATAGGATGTAGCTACCTAATTTTGCTTTCCTTGGGCTTGCATTTGCTCCCTAATACAAATCTTCCCTCTTGCCTTGATTTAAGACAGAGAACCTCAAAGGTGGGCCCTTAAAACAAGCAAAATGCACACATTTGCCTGCCTTCTTGTAATGAAATTATTCAAGGGAACTTGTGCATTGAACAGAAAATAATCCCAGAATAATTCTGCTTTGCATCTGCAAATCAGCAAGAGGTGATCTTGAAACTGCGCGGTGTTCACTTAATGACTGTATGCAAGATGTTAGTACAGAACAGTTCAATTTGTTTTAGGCCCCTGTGCTGCAAAGTCTCATTACGGAGCAAAAAGTTAAGCACATACCTACATCTTTGCCAGATAGGAGCATTAGAATGTAATGCCTTTAAAGTTAGAATAGCCGGAAGCTAAGACTAAAGAATCAGATGGCTTGGTAATTGTTTCTTCGTCATTTGGTCTGAAGCACCTGGCACTGGCTGCTATCCAAGACCAAATACTGGGCTAGAACAACCACTGACCTGCCCTAGTTTGGCTGTCCTTATGTTTGTAGGGCCACCAGCATACTGGGTGTCCAGTCCTGATTAAGGCCATTGGGTGCTATGACAGCATAAATATTGATAAGTTTCAGAGGGGGAACCATGTTGGTCTGTCTCTGCAAAAACAAGGAGCCCTGTGGCACCTAACAGATTTATTAGTCTAAGATGCCGCAGGACTCCTGGTTATAAATGTTGATCTCGCTGTTTATCTTTTTCATTCTGATGGGGTTTAGACCAGACATATTGTGTGCTTCAGCTTGTGGCCCTAGCTTATCCATACAAATGAAAACTAAATGGCAGTGGACGCTTTTTGTTTGGATCCGTGAATACTAGCCAGCCTTCCAACAAACTTAACGGGATCTATCTGGAGCAGTGCCATTGCAGTCTTTTGAACAGAGAAACACCCGTTACTTGCCCTAACAAGTGTTACAGCTCTGAAAGCTTAAAAATCTTCATTCTCCCCACATTGTTCCATTTCTTGAGCTATGAGGGAAGGCTGAAGGAACTGGGCTTGTTTAGTTTGTAAAAGAGAAGACTGAGAGGGGACGTGATAGTGGTTTTCAAGTATCTAAAAGGGTGTCACAAGGAGGAGGGAGACAAATTGCTTCTTGTCCAGGCAAAAAGAACAATGGGCTTAAATTGCAGCAAAAGAGGTTTAAGTTGGACATTAGGAAAAACTTCCGACTTGTCAGGGTGGTTAAACATTGGAATCAATTGTCTAGGGAGGTTGTGGAATCTCCATCTCTGGAAATAGTTAAGAGCAGGTTGGATAGATATTTGTCAGGGATGATCTAGACCAGTGTTTCTTAAACTGTGTTCTGTGGTAGTCGGCCACCGAGAACAGAGTTCAAAATGGCCACCCTTAAAGGGGGAGGTGACTTTTTTGTTTGTTTTGTGTTCCTCGGTCTTTAAGTTTAAGAAACACTGATCTAGACGGTGCTTGGTCCTGCCGTGAGGGCAGGGGTCTGGGCTTGATGATCTCTCAAGGTGCCTTCCAGTTCTAGTGTTCTATGATTCTGATCTTTAACCCAAACTACTTTTTTTTTTTTTTTTATTGCAAGGGTGATCTTTGTTGTACTGGTTTATATGGCCCATTGAAGTAATGGATTTAGATCCTACATCCAGATACAAAGTACTGTTTACTGGTGGGGGGGGGAGTGTTTGTTTAAAGGAAACAGTAATCACTTGCTTTTCCAGCAGGGTAGGCTCACCCTAGACAAGAGCACAATGACTTATCGAACACCAGCTAATACTCCAGAGGCCTCCGTGTTCGTTAAACAGAGTAGATGGCAGGCAACTAATCTCTTTTTTTAACTTAATCTCCTGGGTGGCTGTAAATCCTTCACAAGGTGTCTTTTGTGGTCACTACAGAGGAAAGTTACTTGAAGGCTGTTTCCACTCACTGAATTGCTGCTTATCTGTAAATAGAGTTTGGTTATCTTTACTTTCCTGGCACCCACTCTCCTTCTGGTTTTTTGTGATCGCAGCTCATGTTCCAGGCTAGCACTTGTCACAATTGTCCTTATTAATCTTGTTTCGGTAATTGTAAATCAACTCCACTCCAACAAAAGTTAACTAAGATAGTCTTCTTATCTGAATTATTCACAACTTGGTTAGTGATTTCAGTAGTTGGGAACGAGGAGGATCCCACACAAAGCCGCCTTTGCTAAATCTCCCACTATAAACTCTTTCTTCTCTTGCTAGGCAGCTGACACAGCAGGTGACTCAGTTGTCAAAGATGATGGTAAAGGTGAAACTTGGGTTCCTGATCCTCGCTCTCCCATAGGAATAAGGTAATGCTCTTCGTGAAAAGCGACTTACCAATGACCTCTCTTCCTTTAGACACCCTGGGCAATTGAATGGCTGAGGTTCCACCATGGTCTTCCATGGAGGGTGTGGTCTCTGATTAGAAAACAAAGTGTAGTAGGCAGTAGTGGTGAGGTAGGAATGAAATACAGAAAGCTTATGACATACACAGTCAATTCCTAAAATGTACATTCTCACCACCTGTCAGTCTTTTCATAATGTGTTTGGGGGTTTTTTAGCCAAAAGAATGCAGAAGTTGCAAGTTAGTATATTGAAGTTCTTGGGTGATCCAGCCAATGGACCTTGAGCTTGGGGGACATGTTCATGGTTCAGTGGATTTCTTTCTCTGAGGGCATGTCTACAGAGCAGGGCTAAAGCTGAAATAAGCTACAGGAAACCCCCGACATGTGACTGCTTGAGTTCCGACCCCCCCGCACTTACAACCATTTTTGTAGGTGCAGAAGGGGCTGAAAACCCCCAATGTATGTCCTCGGCCCACACTTATGGTGCCTATCGTAAATGAGGGTTCGAGTCATGATGCCCCCGACTTGCGACGCTTCCCCAGGAACCAATCGCTTCGCAAGTCGGAGCCTGCTGGTACACAACTTGAGCTAGGTCAAGTGCATAGCTTAAGCTGAAATAGCTTATTTCGGCTTTTGTCGCTGTCTACACAGCAGGAAGTCTGAGGGTATGTCTACATTAGAGGTTTTTTTAAAAAAAGGCTGTTTTTCCAAAAAAAGTCATTACGTCCACACTGCAGTCACATTCTTTCGTAAGAAAATCGAAAGAACAGAGGGGTTTTTCCAGCATTGGCAATCCTCATTCTATGAGGAAGAAGCCTTCTTCCGAAAGAGCTCTTTCAGAAAAAGGCGTGTGTGGACGGAGAAGAGGGAGTTCTTTCAGAAGAAGAGGGAAAAGGAAAAAGCACAGTTGCCCTGGTGGCCACTCTCCGTCCACAGTAATCACAGATGAAATGTGAGAGAACATCCACGCTGAACGGATGCTATCTTTCGAGAAAGCAGATGGCTTTTTCTGTGTGCTTTTGTGTGTGGACGCTCTCTTTCGGAAGAAGTTTTTTCAGAAGAGATCTTCCGAAAAAAGATAGAGCATTCTTCCTCCTACTTCCCTTACTCCTTGTAAAATGAGAGTTACAGGAGTTGAAGTAAGAAGTCCTCCAGCTCAACTTTATTTTGACATTGTCGAAATAACTACTAGTAGTGTCGACGCGGATTATTTTGGAATTACGTCATTTATTCCAAATTAACATTACTGTGTAAACGTATCCTGAGTGCCCTTGAAGCCACCATTTATAGACCCTTGTGACATGGCTGTTCAGCGAGGAAGTAGACAGATATGCTGCTAGTTCATTTCGCCTGAGCTACCAAACAGCTCAAAGCTGGTGATGAATTTTAGTCACCTCTGATTGACCTGAGCCATTGATGGAGAGCTGAGAGCAAGCATAACTGGTTGAGTCCCTTGTCCATAAAGTAAGCATGACGATAACCCTTGCCTCTTAGACTGTAAGGCCTTTAGGGGGAGAGATTGCCTCTCGTGTATGTACAGTGCCTAGCACAATAGAGTTCCAGTATTGCTGGAGAATCCTAGATGCTATAGGAAATAAAATAATTTAGTAGTAGAAAGACTTTGTACTGAATCTATTCACTAAGGCTACATCTACACTGCAGTGTTATTTCGGGATATCAGAGGTATCCCAAAATAGCTATTCCGTGTCTTTTGAGCGCCCCTGTTATTTCAAAAGAACAGGCTCAGTATTCTGACATTCCTGTAAACCTCCTTCCATGAGGAGTAAAGGACATTTCAGAATAGCAATTTATTTCAAAATAAATGCTGTGTAGACAGCACCATATTTCAAAAAAATCAAAATAAGATACGCAATTTGCATAGCTCAAGTGCAGTGTAGACACACCCTAACATCCACTCTTCTTTGCCTTGAGTTTCATTGGAGAGAAAACACTGACCCCAACTGGACCAGAGCAGGAGACATGCACTGTTCTAATGCACATACCAAAGAGCTGGTGTAGCTGTCATTTTTGCAGCAGCGAATGTCTGGAAGGGGCACCTAGCAGGCTGCCCAATGGTATCACAACAAATGCACATCTTAGCTTCTTTAGTCTGAGGGTTGGCATCCAGCTTATAAACGTGGGCCATCTTTGTTTCCCAAATCCATTACTCATCCATTGAAAGGAGTGTAGAGGAATGGGGCTGTTTGATTTTTGTAGAGTGGCCAAAGCAGCGTGTAATTTTTTTTCTAACTTTTTAGAGCTTCTTATAAGAGCCCGTGTCTCCTGCTACTACATTAGAAGCCTTGTTAAGCTTATTAAACTAAAGAGTCCAAATGATGTGTGATTTTGCTTCTGCTGGGTGTCATCCAGAGAACAGGGTGTCCCATTATCACTTTATTGCCAGTGTTAATGCAACAAATAGTGACCAGATGGAAAAAGCCCATCTGAGAAAGTATTCCTTCCATTTCTATGGTAAGGAAGGGCATGCTGGCCCATGCTATGTTAAAATGAACTACCTGGCTGGCTGTAATGGATGCCAGGTGGTGTTCCCTCTCAGCTGTGCACTTGGGTAGCCACCCAGGAAAGATTCAAATACCCTGTTGATTAGCAGAGTGTCGGCAACTGGCAGCATGTGTTACTACTTGTAGTGCACATGTCTTGGTGCGCATAAAATTTATTCTGCGCATGGATGGAAAAAATTAGAGAGAACATTGGTGCCCATCTGGTTTAAATGATCTTTGGCTGTCTCCATATATGCAATTCACAGAAACTGCCTCCTTATGGTCACCTAAGAACTTGTTTGATCCTACAGAGGTTTGCTTCAGCTTTGACTGTATTTGAATTTGTCTTGATTACAGAAAACCTGTTGACAGCCTCCCCCCCCCCCCCCCCCCCCAAGTGCTATATTTCTTTGAGCCTGTGTGCTGAAGTTTGAAAGGTAACCGTGGTTAGACGGTTAGAGGTGTGGATTTAAAAAAAAAATTGTCTTCAACTTTACCATCTTTTTCACAGTCCTGCTAGGAGAAGATCCATGAGAGAGAGTGGCCCGTCGACACAGGATACTATGGAAAAGCCCCCAGTTGAAAAGGAGAAGCCTCTGGTGGAATTTCTTTGAGCCTGTGTGCTGAAGTTTGAAAGGTAACCGTGGTTAGACGGTTAGAGGTGTGGATTTAAAAAAAAAATTGTCTTCAACTTTACCATCTTTTTCACAGTCCTGCTAGGAGAAGATCCATGAGAGAGAGTGGCCCGTCGACACAGGATACTATGGAAAAGCCCCCAGTTGAAAAGGAGAAGCCTCTGGTGGAAAAGAAGCCCATGGGAGTAGCATTAGAAAGGAAGGCGAGCCAGCAAGGAATCCTATCAATGCCCATAAGGGTTGCTATACTTGCTGTCTTTGTTTTTGTTCTCTTTGTGTATGTAACAATGGAAACCAACCCAGACAATCCATTCACGAACTTCATCCTGGGAAGAGGGTGGTAGTGCTGCCTTGACACCTAGCTAGGGAGCGTTCAGTAGTGACTGCAAAACAAAGCAGATGCCTCTTTCACTCCCTACTTACATGTGAACAAGCTCTTCAGGTATGCATTAAAAGGCCAACAGGAAAAAAAAACCTATAGGCACAGTGTTTTCTTTGTCAAATGTTCAGAGAGGTTCATATTAAGTCTTGGAGACTCAACTTGCTCTACAATTTCTCACCTGCTCAAAGGGAGATGCCCGTATCTCGTAATCAGATTCATCAGTTCATCCCCCCAGAAGGTTTATGGGGATTTTTCTAAACTACAGTGGCTGATCCTTGTTTTTCCAAGAAATTAACACTCTTCTATTGATCTGTTGCCCCCTTGTATTAGAGAAGTGCTAGCTCCAGACCTAGAAAACAAATTACACACCTCTGACAAGCAGGGCAACAGCCACAGTTGTACTGCAATGAGGAGCAAGTCTCTGGTTTCTTGCAAAGTGCCTTTTTGCATCTTGGCTGTTAATTCACTTTTTTCTGCACTCCTCAAATTCTGGATCATATCAAAAGTTTGGGTACTGTGGTTGCCAGCACACTCGCGTCAATATGTTTGCTCCTCATTTAAAGTTCAGCTCTATTTTTTTTTAAATATAGAGAAGATCCTAAATCACTCAGGTTGTGATGCTGTAAAAATTAAGATGCTTAAATAGTAAATGAAAATAAATTATTTTCATCTCTTAGCCAAGTTAAGGGCCTTTCACGTGTGGAGCTCTGTAGGAAAAACACAGAACTCTGAACTTCGTGCTCGACCCTCAGAAACCTAACAAATCACTAAAGCCTTATGAAAGGTGTTTAATTTTAAGTGTACTCATGTAGTCAATTGATGGCATAAGATATCCAATGGTCTCTTAATTTTTAAAAGCATTTCATTTAGTCTTCAAAATATCAGCAGTCTACTTTGACTGTCTCTAAGGCCCTCATCTAAATTTTGGATAAAATTTCCATGTGAGCTCATGGATGACTGCTTTCATGAACAGAGACCTAGAAACAGAGAGGGCTTGACTCATACAATTGTTTTAATTCTACGGCCTCAGAAAATTCTGGTATTGTATTGTGAGTTTCATGTTCTAAACTGCTAGCGGCTTTGGAAAAAAAAACATTTTTCAATCTAGTAAACAATGAAATCTGGAAGATCCTATATTTGCATGGCTATGGGTTTACATGGAAACACTTAATTGTTTCAGGTTGTTGTATGAATACCAAATTATTTTAAGTGCAATTGTCACAGTGTAAAATAAAGAGCCTTGTGATTATAAAATCAGTTTATCTCCTCAACGCCGCACTTTTTGATTTCCGCATTTGGTAGCTGGAGCATATAAGCAGCAATCTAGCTGTCACTCATTTTCTTCTTTAAATCTTGTTTTGTATGTTCCAGCTTAAATTGGTTGCTCAGGTCTAGTTATTTAGTATGGAGAATGGGAGATTCAGTTTGTACACCCTTATCAATCCTAATGGTTTGCTACTGCAGAACCCTTCTATTCTGAAGCAGATAGATATGCCACAAGCTGGATGCCATCTCAAAGAACCACTGTTCTGAGCTAGTGCCGCAATTTTTGTATTCCTGATATCTGCCTAACAGTTGTAAAATATATTGTGTCTGATAGAATTGGTTTGGCCTAAGCAACTAGCTTTAAATCTTGTCGTCTTACAGCCAGAGAGTTTGGTGTTCTCTGTGTGATGAAACAGAGCAAGGTATTGTCTTCTTTTATTCCCTTTTCCTACAGTTTCTGAGACGCTTGCATCTATAGCTATTTTCAAAATTGACCTTGGTTTTGAGGTAGTCTGGGACTATCCCAGGTTCTGCATATGGGGTAGTGCAGTACACATCGGCTGTGTCTAGACTGGCAAGTTTTTCCGGAAAATCAGCCGCTTTTCTGGAAAAACTTGCCAGCTGTCTACACTGGCCACTTGAATTTCCGGAAAAGCACTGACTATCTCATGTAAGATCGTCATTGCTTTTCTGGAAATACTATGCTGCTCCCATTCGGGCAAAAGTCTTTTTCCGAAAGACTTTTGCACAAAAGGGCCAGTGTAGGCAGCATAGTACTGTTTTCCGCAAAAAAGCCCCGATCGCGAAAATGGGGATTGGGGCTTTTTTGCGGAAAAACGCATCTAGATTGGCCACGGGTGCTTTTCTGCAAAAAGTGCTTTGGCAGGATGCTTTTCCGCAAATCTAGATGCGCTTTTCCGAAAATGCTTTTAACAGAAAACTTTTCCATTAAAAGCATTTCCGGAAAATCACGCCAGTGTAGACGTAGCCATCTTGTCTACATGAACAAGAGATTGTGGTAAGCTGGAGGGGGTGAACTTACCCCGTGCTAGTTGGCCATGCATGGTCTATCCACGTGCGCCCTACTGATGCATAAACAGTCTGTTATGCTCTTAAATCCCCTCTCATTTTGCTCTGCACCGTCCCTTAATGTGAACTCAGTGTTGGCGTAGACGAGCCCACAAATGCTTTGAAGAGACTGTCATTTCTCAGCGCTTGGATGTGATCTGAGACCACCACAGCACCTTACGGTAGTCTCCATGGCAATAGAACATAGGTACAGCCATACTAGGTCAGACCAAAGGTCCATCTAGCTCAGTATCCTGTCTGCTGACAGTGCCCAATGCCAGGTGCCCTAAAAGGAGTGAACAGATGAGGGAATCAAGTGATCCATCCCCTATCGCCCATTCCCAGCTTCTGACACAGAGCTTAGGGACACCATCCGTGCCCATCCCGCCTAATAGCCGACGATGGACCTAACCTCTGAACACAAAGGACTTTGCACTGGAGAGAGTTATATATCGTATGGGTAGTTCATGTCAATGTCAACATTTTTCACTTTTGTCTGCAAGTTCTTTTAAAACCTGTCTTTCTCATTCCCAGTAGCTCAATTAAGTTTATAATGTGTGAGGAAGAAGCAATATTAACCAACCTTTCTGGCTTGTGGCCTGCTACCAGAGAACACATTATGGGACCCGTCCATGCATTTACTCTGCTGGGTTACTGCACAGAAGCTAGTGAATTTACTCTTGTCCATCCTCTGGACCAACAGTTCTTAAACTGTGGTAAGGACCTAGTTTTAATAGCGTCACCAGGGCTGGTGGTAGACTAAATTTTCAAACTCCTTTTTTTTTCTTCTTCAACAGCAACAAAAATTGCTCCATCAAACGAATTGCTTAAACAAAGATAGCAATACCTTACAACCTGTAAAATAAAGGAAAGGTAGATAGAACTGAAAATCAAGGTTTCTTTTTCTTTTCTCCGTGAAGCCTCCTTTCCAGTTCCTAAGTAATGCCCCAAAAAGATCTTCAGGAGTGAGCTGTGGCATGTTACACTTCTGTCAAGATTCCCCTCTGAAGTGATTTCAAGTCTCTTGATATTCACAAAGGAGTTGCAAGCCAGATCAGAGCACGGGGTAGCCAGTGAAATAGTGGTCAGGGCCAGGCGTTTCAAGGACCCCTGCAGTGGTTAGGCGCAGAACAACTTCCCATGGAAGAAGTTGCTTCCTAATTCCCAGCCAGATTGATTTAGGTCCCTAAATGTGCCACTTTCCATCTCTTCCGCTTGTTAAAAGGTCTCATTTAACAGGAGGTGTTCTCATTTTCCATATAGGGCCTTATTCTTAATTATAATCAAGTTGGTAGCCAAAGCCTGAGTCCCACTGCCCAGGACTGATGTATTTAGGGCTTCAGCCTGGGTTGTGGGGTTCAGGTTATAGACCTAGCTCTTGTGGCTGAAGACCTTTGGCTTTGGCCTGCCCCTTCCACGAAGTGGCAGGGCTTGGTCCTTCCTCCCCCCAGAGCTTCAGCCATAGGCTTTGGTCCCTTTCCTAGGGTGCTGTAGTAACTTGTCATTGTTGCAGTGCAATGAACTTTTGAGAACTCCATCTCTAGATGAGTAGTTCTCAACCTGCCAGCTGCTTGTGGCCCAATCAGCACACAGCAGGTGCTCATGTGACACCCTCAAGGCCATATAAGGTACGTCTAAACTACATGCCTCTGGCGACAGAGGAATGTAGATTTGTTTGTTCAGCAAAGGCAAATGAAGCTGCGATTTAAATGATCGCGGCTTCATTTACATTTACATGGCTGCCGCGCTGAGCCGACAAACAGCTGATCAGCTGTTTGTCGGCTCAGCGCGGCAGCCATGTAAATGTAAATGAAGCCGCGATCATTTAAATCGCAGCTTCATTTGCCTTTGCTGAACAAACAAATCTACATCAGAACTGGACAATACTCCAGCTGATCAGCTCTGTAATGCAGGATGCAGCCACACGATATACTATCTATGGCTGTGTCTAGACTACATGCCTCTGTCGGCAGAGGCATGTAGATTAGACACATAGGCAAAGGCAAATGAAGCCGCGATTTAAATGATTGCGGCTTCATTTACATTTATATGGCTGCCGCGCTGAGCCGACAAACAGCTGATCAGCTGTTTGTCGGCTCAGCGCGGCAGCCATATAAATGTAAATGAAGCCGCAATCATTTAAATCGCGGCTTCATTTGCCTTTGCCTATGTGTCTAATCTACATGCCTCTGCCGACAGAGGCATGTAGTCTAGACACAGCCATAGATAGTATATCGTGTGGCTGCATCCTGCATTACAGAGCTGATCAGCTGGAGTATTGTCCAGTTCTGGGCACCACATTTCAAGAAAGATGTGGAGAAATTGGGGAGCGTCCAGAGAAAAGCAACAAAAAAGATTAAAGGTCAAGAAAATGAGCTATGAGGGAAGACTGAAAACTGGTTTTGTTTAGTTTGGAGACTGAGAGGGGACTTGATAGCAGTTTTCAAGTACCTAAAAGGCTGTTACAAGGAGGAGGGAGAAAAATTGTTCTTTGACCACTGATGATAGGAGAAAAAGCAATGGGCTTAAATTGCAGCAAGGGAGATTTTTCTACGTGTCCAGGTGGTTAAACACTGGAATAAATTGCCTAGGGAAGCTGTGAAATGTCCATCAGTGGAGATATTTAAGAGCAGATTACACAAACCTCTATCTGGGATGATCTAGATGGTGCTTGGTCCTGCCATGAGGGTAGGGGACTGGACTTGATGACCTCTCGAAGTCCCTTCCAGTTCTAGTTTTCTATATGTGGCTTACTGGTAAAT